TATGAATAAAGTAGTTCGGGGAAGAATCCCAACAAAACAGTGTCCACAATGGCTCCCTGGAATGAGCAGAGAGCCCATGCCTACTTTTCCTCTTCCGAATAGCTCTGCATAGTGATCAAGGATTAATGACACTGTGCAAAGTGTGATTGAAACCTGTTGAATGTTTAAAATAAAAGAAACTGTTACAGTAAAGGACACATTAGCATTAATCTCAAAATGCTATCCCTTGCCTCGGACACTCTTACCCCATCATTCTTGTCACTCTCTGATGCGGTTCTCAAAGTCCTCTTTTTTGAGTGTCTTTCATTGTATTGTCATGACTGCCTCAATGTCCCGATTCAATTCAAAGCATTTACCTTCCTGGTCACTCGGACTGTGGGGAAGAGCCAGAAGCGGCAAGGTGCCAGATCTGGTGAATAAGGTAGAGGAAGGCACACCGTAATGTTTTTATAAGCCTGTCTTTTATTGGGCAGCAGCTGGCAGCAGAAGTCATTGTATCTTCTCTAATCATACCCCCTAAAGACATTCACAAAAGGGGACTTCCAGAGTGGCTTCTCAGCATGGCAAAATGATGGGATAAATGCACTCAAAGGGAAGTGGAGTGCTTTGAGAGGGGTTCGTGGCACAAGTGCTCCTTTTCGATCTGTAGTTTTACAGTCACGGGCAATTGCTTCCCAGGCTCTGCATGTCACTTCCTTGCTTTGTCAGACCCAGTTCCCATGGCACTGGGGCAGAAGGCTCCAGGGAAGTAATGCCAAGCCTTTTAGAGCTTTTGATTATACAAACAGCCTGCTGGAGCACGCTGCCACTGTTCTAGGGGTAAGAAGGGAGATGACCAGGCTACGGTGTTAGTAGGAAGAAGGCCCAACAATCATGTCAATACCTATTTGCATCTCTCCAAAAGAAACCTAGAAATTCGGCTTAGCTTTGAACTGCCTCTCCCTGAGATCAGTAAAACTGCCTATGCCCAAAGACTGCCAGAAACTCTTAGACACATTTGAGCAGACCACATTGGTTGACATGTGGGGAAGGGTCAGATGCCATCACTGTAAGTTGGTTTTAGCTACTAAGTTGTAAGGACAGGCCGAATGCCCACTTCTTCACAGCACTGACCACAGTTTGTGTCTTTACCATTTTCAGAGCATTGTTCCCATGCTATGTAGTGCTTGGTGGCTTTAAGGTGGGCACCTCAGGAAAGTCCAGTCTGCTACGTGGCATCCCAGCCATCTGGTTCCTGTGACCTTTTGGTTGTACATGACCCACAAACAAAGCAGCCACTGTCTTTAGTTGCACTGATTGTCACGGCTGCCTTGATGTCCTGGATTAATTCGAACCATTTACCTTTCGTGGTCATTGTGACTTTAAGGAAGAGCCGGAAGTCATACAGTGTCAAGTCCGGTGAATAAGGTAGATGAGGACACAGCATGATGTTTTTACGAGCCTGCCTTTCTGTTGGATGTCACTCAGCAGCGGCATTCACCTTATATTTTATCACACCTCACTGACAAAAGAGATTCCCAGAAGAGGATTCCCAGAACCGCTTCAGAAAGAGGCAAGAACGTTGTATCGTGTGTTTGAAGTGAAACAAGAGATAATATTTTTAGGGAAATTAAAGGCATTGTGTCTTTTATTGTAAGAAAGTTTTAAAATTTTAAGTACTCACAGTGTTATTTATCATTCCTTCCACAGTTTTTAAATGCTCAGAAAAAGGAAAATTAAAACTGAATCATGTGTATGTCATGTGCTGAACATCCCCCACCGCCCCAGCCTCCTTGACTTTGTTGCACTCTTAACCCCTAATGCAAGGGTGCTGAGGATGGGGCTTTGGGAGATGTTCAGGGTTAAAATAGGTGATTGAGGGTGGAGCCCCCACAGTGGGACTCATGGCCAGTAAGAAGGGCAGAGAGAGAGAGAAAGGTCTGCCTTTTGAAAACCCAAGAGGAAAGACCATGTGAAAAAACTGTAAGAAGTCAGAGAGCAGTCCACAAACCAGGACGTAGAACTGACCAGATGTCGACTCTATGAGCACTCCCATCTTGGACTGCCTGTCCTCCAGAACCGTGACCAATGTAATTGTCCGTGGTTTCAGATCTTCAGTCTGTGGTATTCTGTTACAACAGCCTGAGCTGACCCAAGGGCTACATTTCCAGCTTTGGGTATTCTGTTCTTTTTCATTCTTTTTGCTCTTTATACTTCAGTTTGGGGGTGTTCTATTGATATTTGTCCCCGCTCACTCATTTCCTCAGTTGTGTCCAGTCTGCTGATAAACCTCTCAAAGGCATTCTTCACATGAATTATAAGGTTTTTAAAAAAATTCTTAGAACAAATTCTTGATTTTTTTCTTAGCATTTCCATCACTCTGCTTATGTCACCCCACCTATTCTTGTGTGTTGTCCATTTATTCTATTAAAGCCCTTACTGTATTTACCATATTGGGTTTTTTTGTTTGTTTGTTTGGTCTTTTTGAGACAGGGTCTCGCTATGCAGTTCAGGCCAGCCTTGAGCTCACTTTGTAGCCTAGGCTGTTCTCAAACTCACAACAATCCTCCTGCCTCAGCCTCCTGAATGCTGGGATTACAGGTGTGTGCCACCATGCCTGGTCACCATATTGTTTTAAATTCTCCATCCTGTAATGCCAGCATCTCTGCCATATCTGACTAAAGTTACAACTCTTGTTTTGTCTCTTCAACCAGTGTTAGTTTTGAATTGGGTAAAAGGTACTTCACTACCATAAAATAAAACAAGTTGAAAATTCCATGAGATATAAAACAAACATTTGATAAAAGTCAACTCCTTTTAATTATTAGCAAGCCAGGTGTAGAAAGCAACTTTCGTAACATATTAACCTGTTTTAAAACATGGGCAAGGGGGCTGGGGATTTAGCTCAGCGGCAAAAGCGCCTGCCTGGCAAGCGCAAGGTCGTGAGTTCGGTTCCTGGTACCGGAGAAAAACCAAAAAATAAATAAATAAATAAATAAAACATGGGCAAGTATTGTAACAGTAGTTTCCTCCTGAGGTCAGAAATGAGATGGGACCTACCACCATCATCTATGTGCAACACGGTGGCGGTTGCACTCACAAAAGAAATAAAAGGCATCAAGATTGGAAAGAGAGAACTACAACTACTGACAAGACAGTACACTTAGAAACTCACAACAGTCAACATATGTGAATTAAGTTGTTGGTTAATACAAGGCTGATGTGCAAAATTGCTTGTATTTCTATATGCTAGTAACAAAAATATAACCCAATATTTTTTAAAATAAAGAGCTTACTTGAGGTATAGAATAGGCAAATTCAGAGAACCAGAAAATAGATTAGAGGTTGCCAGGCAGGTAGCGGTAGTGGAAAATGGGGAGTTGTTGCTTCATGAAGAATTTCTGTTTGGGTCCATGAAAAATTTAAAAACTAGATTGTGATGTTTGCACACCACTGTGTATATAAATAATGCCACTGAACGGTACCCTTCAAATGATTTAAATGACAACTTTTATAGAGGCTGGGGATTTAGCTCAGTGGCAAAGCGCCTGCCTGGCAAGCACAAGGTCGTGAGTTCGGTTCCCGGTACTGGAGAAAAACCAAAACCAAAAACAAACAAACAAAAAAAACCTTTTATGTCTGTACCACCATAACAAAAATTTTTGAGTGATAGTAAATACAAAGATAGCCAAACTGCACAAAGGAATGGAATAAAGGTCAAGAGATAGTACATACGGGGTTCTTTCTGGTAGAGAAAGAAAGCCCTTTTCAGTTACTAGTGCTAGGTTAATTTGATATCCATGTAGAGAGAATATTTCTGAACTTCTGTCTGTACACAGAAGTCTCTTCCAGAGGACTGTACATCTAAATGTGAAAAGCAATACAAAGATTTGAGAACATCATATGAACTTGGAGTGGACAGGGATTTCTTAAATGGAATACAAGAACCACTATCCATAAAAGGAAAGTTTTGATAAAAAGAAACTAAATAAATTTTAAGGAGATTTTTCATCAAAAGACAAAAAACGGAGTTGGAGAAGATGTTTTCAATATATGTATCTGGCAAAAAGACTCATAGTCTTCTAGTTCATTTAAAAACAAAACACCCATAAAAAACTTCCTGTGAGAAAAAAGACTACCCCAGCCACCAAAATAGACAAAAGATTAGAAAGAGATGTGACATTGTGAAATGCAGGTTATATTGTATACTTCTTAGCACGGAACTCCTAAAACATCCTGGGAAACTCACAACTCTGTACACCTATGGTTTGCGCTATTTTCTTTATGTGTGAAGTATATACTTTGTCAACAAAATTTTCCCAAAAATATGTAAAAGTTGGTAAATGAACAGTTTAAAGAATTTACATAACCAATGGTTTAGGATCCGCGGATATGAGTGAGGTAAAGGAATGACCAAACTTTGGAGATATTTGCATTGCCTAGCTATGCTCCATTCCACAGGTCCTCCCCTTGTTCAGTCCATCCTGGCAGCACTCCCACCCCCTTTCCACCAGGCACCCGTGGCTGCTGAGGCTGAGATGGGCAGTGCTTGGGGCTGAACTTCCTTTCTGCCCCTTTTGTGGCACCCTGGCTCGGAAATAAGCCAAATTTGTAGACTGGAGGCTATTAAAGGAACATGCCATCTTTCTTTTTAACAAATTAAGAAACAGATTTGAGGACATTTGACCTAGGTGGCAAAACTGATTACTTATAGAAATATGCTCAAATGCATGCCAACTTGGTGGAATGTAAGAAGAAATCCCCTAACGCTACAGTCACTGTCTGGTTCTCCTGTTGTGGAGTCTGAGATGCTGCGTGTACAGACCTTTTGGGCTAGGTGTGCAGTTCCCTCCATTCCCTTCACAGCGGCAGTCTCCCTGCAGCAGCCTCCTGCCCACGGAGCCACGGATACAGCCAGGGCAGAGCCAGCCAAGTCCTGTGAGCCGCCCTCTCTTGACCAAGTTCTGGCTTCCTTGGGGCCTATGATCCCTGTCTAACTCTGGGCCTGATTCCTTCCCCAGGTACCTGTGAGATTCCCTCTGCTGCCATGAAGATTGCCGTGATCGGGCAGAGCCTGTTTGGCCAGGAAGTTTATTGCCACCTAAGGAAGGAGGGTCATGAGATAGTGGGTGTGTTCACCATCCCAGACAAGGATGGGAAGGCTGACCCCCTCGGTGAGTGAGGGGTTCGGGAGCATGTGGGTGAAGAAGTCTTCAGGATTTTGTGGTAGAGCCATGACTGGGAAGCATCTTTAACCTGTCCACCCTGACTTCTGTGCCAGTACCAATTGCCTGCCGGGCTCGTTTGGAGTAAAGTGGAGACACCCAGCCCATCTGATTGTGAGGTGGAGTTCATATCCTAAGGAAGGGCCATGGAGAAGCCCGGCGTGGTCCGAAGTCCCACTCTGAGTTTCTCTGACCCAGTGCCCAGACTCTTGAAGGGCTCCCAGGGCAGGGTCATCTGGATTCAGCATTGTCAATGGTAGACATGCACCGTATTACCCTTACAGTGGGGGCAGACTCAGAGGGCTCAGCCCGTCTGAAAGCGTCTTAACTCAGAGATTAGGAGTGGATTCTGAGACTTTTTATTTCTGACAAGTTCCTGATGATGCTGGTACCCCTGGGTCTAGGGAGAACATCTTTGGAGAATCACAGGCCAGAATTATTGCCTTTGAGTTGGGAACCCCAGCACGGACAGAAGCCAGAGTCTCAGTTAGATGAACAGATTCTCCAGAGATACTCATTGGTCCTTCTCAGCCCTGACAGAGGCAGACAGTAGGGTAGGGCTTAAGGACAGAAGACCAGGATTAAGAGAGGTGGCTTAAAGGACTGGCCAGGAAAGGGGCATGGATCATAAGCAATGCTGGGGCCCCCAGGCTGAGCAACTGCAGCCTAGTCCTTGAACTCCATTTCAGCACCGCTGATACCAGCCTGGGCCGACCCTAGCACAGTCTGAGACACGCACCCCAGATAACCAGTGACACTAGTTGCTGCCGCTGGACCCAGCTCCAGCCTAGTTGAGGCTATTGCTCAACCCTGATTTCTGACCAGGAAGTATCTTGCAGAAGTATTTCACTGACCACAGTGGGACCCCTTTTGCAAGTACAGTCCAAGATGCTTACATCACATCTCACCCTCCCTTACAACCACTGATGTTCAGACACGGTGGCAGAGAGGAAGGCCAGAGAGGAGGGTTCCGCTAGATGGAGGCGGGGGTGGGTATCACAGCACATGTTCTAGAAGTGTTCGTTAGGTATTGAAGAATGGAAGGCCAAAGAAAACCCTAAGTATTAGGGGGAAGGAGCTAGTGGCTGACAGAAGCAGGTGCCACCTCTGAGGCTGAGATCAGAGGAAGCCTCCGTAAATACGAAATTGGGGGGCTTGGGCTCTGTATGAGACCTGTGAGGATTCACTGCTCACCCTGGGCCAGAGAAAGGGCCCTGCAGGCTGAGACTGGGCTGTGCAGCGGTAGACACCTGGGCATGTGCATGCACTGAGGCTAAATGTGCAGATACCAAAAACAGCTCAGCCTCTGCACGAGGGAGGGGCAGTGGCATGTGAGGTGAAGGACTGAGCCTGGGGCGATAGTCAGAGGAAGCGAACCCCACAGAAAGAACCAAACCCCATACTCTTTCTTTCCTCCAGCACCTCAGTTTTTCTCTAGACAGGGAAGAGCTGATCAAGTAGAAATCCAATTTTCGGAGTCCCAGGCCCCATCACACACAGCTGTGGAAGGGCAGAGAGCCAGTCACTCAGTGCCAGGCATAGTGAAGCTCAGGAGACGGGTGGCTGAACAGCCAGCTGTCGGGCCCCGCGGGATCTGGAAAATGGGGGTACACAGGGGTCCTGGTGATTAGCAGAAGGTAGTGTCTGGGGAGTAAAGTCCAAAATAATCACCCTTTCTGGCCACAGATGGAACCTGGCTGGGCAGCAGCGGGGCTGTTGGAAGGCAGGCATAAAGGGCAGGCCTGGGGTCACTTTGCTGGACAGCCAGACGTGCTCATGCGTGGGTAAGTAGCTGAGAGCGGCTGTTTTCTTATCTGCTGTCTTACAGGCGTGGAGGCTGAGAAGGATGGGGTCCCCGTGTTCAAGTTCCCCCGCTGGCGGGCACGAGGACAGGCTCTGCCCGATGTGGTGACCAAATACCAGGCTTTGGGTGCTGAGCTCAACGTTCTGCCATTCTGCAGCCAGTTCATCCCCATGGAGGTCATTGATGCTCCCCGACACGGCTCCATCATCTACCACCCATCTCTGCTCCCCAGGCACCGCGGGGCTTCAGCCATCAACTGGTGAGATGGGACAAAAACGCTGGGGACTCGTGTCCCTACAAATCTCCTCCATCTGTCTGAATTATCATCCTCCTTTAGCCTGAAGCTGGGTCTCAGGGATGTGCCTGTCGTACATGTCAGATGTCATCTTTAACACAGATTGGTGGAATGTTGAGAGATGGGATGGCATAGGTGAACACTATTTGTGTCCCTGCGGCTGGGACAGAAAGGGCTAGCAGCTCTTACAAGGGCACTTAGAGGGCCACAGAGACACGGCTCCACCCACTGTTTTACTCTCAGCAACATCCTGCACAGAAATAGATGAAGATGGAGGGAAAGCAGGACATGATGGTGCATGCCTGAAACCCCAGCATTTTGGGAGGCTGAGGCAGGAGGATCTTAAGTTTAAATCTTGCCTGGGCAATTTAGCAAGACTGTGCCTCAAAATTCAAATTTTTTTCAAAAAGGCTGGGGTTGTAGCTCAGGGCAGAGGCGCTGGGTTCAATCCCCAGTCATGCAGGCGTGCACACACACACACACACACACACACACACATATATGTGCACAACAGATGAAGTGCAGGGTCACCCACACAAGACAATCTGAGATAATGAGAAAGGTGAAGGAGATGGTAAACGGGCTGCTCTGTCAGGTGGGTGGCCAAGTAAGCGGGCCATTTGAGCTGCAAAAAGAGAATGGATTTATATCTCCTCTGGTCTGGTTGGAAAACAGGTTTCCCGATCTTTGATGATGTTACTTCACTTCTCTGAGCCTCCGTCTCCTTATTTGTAAAATGAGCGTACCGTGCTTATTATGCCTGTCATAAAGAGTAAGTCACATAAGGCATTAAAAGCTTTTAGCATGGTATCTAGCACATAGTTGGTATTAATAAATGTTGTTTCCCTTCAGCTTGCCCTTCCTGTACAACAAGTATCAGTCATCCTTGGGAGCAGAAGAGGACGTGCCGGAGGGTGACAGGGGCCATAGGGCTCCACCTAGGGCTTCCTTTTTGGTGGTTCTTCCTCTGGGACTCAGGGTTTCACTCTTGTGCTTCTAGGACCCTCATCCATGGAGATAAGAAAGGGGGCTTTACCATCTTCTGGGCTGATGATGGTCTGGACACGGGGGACCTTCTACTTCAGAAGGAATGTGAGGTGCTACCAGATGACACCGTCAGCACCTTGTATAACCGATTCCTCTTCCCTGAAGGCATCAAAGGGATGGTAAGGGCTGGGAGCCATCCATGCCTGCCCTTTCTCCTGACACCCATGCCCACAAGGCCTCTCCATTCCTAGACACTCTCTCCTCTCTGCTTGCCTTCCTTACAAGCAAGTGCTTGTCTTGAGCTGGCCAGGAACACCAGATTCTGCAGAAAGGGAGCTTTTACTTCAGGGTTCTACAGCACAAACAATGTATTGAATTTAGAGGAACTCTTGGTCACAACTGACAAACCCAACTCAGAAGGTTTTAGCCAGGAAGGAGACACTGTTGGCTCATTTAATAGATAATAATAAAGGCAGGAGGATGTCAAGTGTGGATAAATCCAAAAGTTGAAGCTACATCACCAGGTTTCTACTGCTGTTTCTTCATACTTTGATTCAGCTTTTCTGCTTAGTTTCATCCTCAGATTGGCTGTGTCAAATGAGAGGAAAGATAGTTACTGGTAGCTCAAAGCTTCTAATTCCTGATTCCCAGAAAAGAGAACATGCCACACATCCACCCATCCCTGTCCTAAAAGTAGTGAATGAATAGTCAGGCAAGACTTCTATTGGCTAATTTGGAGTCATGTGGGTTTTCCTGACCCAATCACTGGCCAGGGTGATGGGGTCCTCTGATTGGCTGCCTCAGTCACATGGTTTTTCCTGTGGCCAATTGGGGAAAGAAGGTCAGCACAATTGTAATTCCAAGGTCTGTATTTTCAATGGGAGAGGTTCTGTTGCCAGAGGCACTGGGGCAGGACTATGGAAAAGACAAGGATGATTGATGTTGGGAAATTGTACTTGATGTGGCGGGCAGGCTGGCCCCAGGGGCCTGACCCTGCAGTGGTGGAGGAGGCTCTCAGTGTTGTGTGTCTGTACAGGCTGCTGTTGGCTGGCCGGAGATAGCCAAAGGCAGGTGATATTCCAGGCTTCAAGCATGGGAAGTTTCCACAAGGAGCACATATGCACATGGCAATTAGCAAGCATGACAGTTACATACAAGTGTCACTACAAGCCAGATGTCAGCTGTCCCCTTGCTCCTCAGGTCTTATTTCACGTCATCTGCCTTTTACATTTTAGTTGTATTAAATTAGATGCCTCTGGCTATTTTCCCCCATGAAATGACCTGCTTTCAGAAGTAGTAAGCAAAGAAGACTTGCTGGACATTTAGTATGAAAGAGAAGGGTAGTATTTGCACATCCTACAGCAAACAACTCAAGTACCCATTAGAGCTGTACTGTCTGATAGAACAGCCACTTGTCACACACATACACCAATTCCAATTAATTAAAAATAATTATAATTTTACATTTCGAGTCTGGGGATGTAGCTCAGTGGGAGAGCACTTTCCCCAGTGGGTTTTTCTCCCCAGCACCACATGCGCACACACACACACACACACACACACACACACACACACTTTCAGTTCATCAGTCTCAGTAGCTACATTTCAAGTCCCAGTAACTATGCATAGTTCCTGACCACTGAATTGGACTGTACAAACAGAGGCTGTGTCCATCACTCCAGAATGTTCCACTGGGCAGGCCTGCTCTAGGCATTTCGGATACCCCAGTTCTCTCCCAGTCTTGGCACCTCTGTGTCTCTTCTGTCACAGAGAGTCCTTGGCTCTCCCTTCCCTGAATTCTCCCCCAGCCACTTTCCTTTTCCCTTTCACAAAGAAACTTCTTCATCTCAGACCTCTAAACTCGTGCCTCCAAACCCACCTTGGGACTCAGGATCCTTACAAGACAGAGACGGTTTTAGACAGCAGATGAGAAGTATGTGTGTGTGTGTGTGTGTGTGTGTGTGTGTGTGTGTGTGTGTATGTGTGAGAGAGAGAGAGAGAGAGAGAGAGAGAGAGAGAGAGAGAGAGATCCTGCACAGGGCTTTATATTGAACCTTCTAATATCTCAGAAACTGTAAAATCTTCCACACGATGGGAAGCCAAGCATGTTAGAGATGGGTTTATGCCCGATGTGCAGAGTAGGTTAGATTTGCGCTAACTCCACTTGCTCACGTGGCCCATAGTTCTCAGGAGCCTGCTGTGTCCCCAGGAAACCAGGAGGGCAGGAGTTTCCCCTGCTAAGGGTGCCAACTTGTCCACAGGTGGAGGCTGTCAGGCTCATCGCAGAGGGCAAAGCCCCCAGACTCCCTCAGCCTGAGGAAGGAGCCACCTACGAGGGAATTCAGAAGAAGGAAACAGCCAAAGTAAGTGTCCAGGCCAAGTGTGCCTGAGCTGAGGGCTCAGAGGCAGCCTGTGAAACTGAGCCAGGGCCATCCCAGGGCAGAAAGGTTGTAACTGCTGAAGGCCAGAGGAGGCAGCCGTCCAGTCAGGGTTGCCGGAGCAGAGCATGGGAGGAGGAGGCACGTGACACCCGGAAGTGCAGGTAACAGGGACCCTTCTGGGTTCTGCATTGTTTCTCTTCAGGGCAGGTAAAACTCCCACGGAAGAAGAAGAACCTGGGCCAGAATGAAGTATCAGCCTTAGTGCTAGTCTTTCTCCCCTAAGGAGATCTGAAGGACAGTGTGTTACTTTGAACAAGAGTGAGAAGAGGAACCTTTAAGGGAGGCCTGTGGGTTGTGTCCCTACTTCAGGAGTGTGGGGTGCCATATGGCGGTTTATATGGGCCCCGTGCATGAGGAGAAGCTAGGAGCTGGGCCCTATGGGATAGTCCTGAGCGCACTGTGCTAGGGACTCTGTGTTGGACATTGACTATTTGACAGTAATAGAACAGTCTTTTCCCAAAGCCATTTTGTAGTCTGCTTAACCTGTGAGAGACTGTGGATCAGAGAACATCCAGAACCAGGGGCGCTACCTCAGAGACTGAGACCATTGTCCAGGAAAAAGCCCAGGTCTACTTACAAGGGCTCACTCCACTTTCCAGAAGTCATAGGGTTCCATTTGGGTTGTGGATAAACCAGCTGAGCACACATATCCTACTCCCTACAGATCAACTGGGACCAGCCAGCTGAGGCCATTCACAACTGGATCCGTGGGAACGACAAGGTGCCGGGTGCCTGGACAGAGGCCTGTGGACAGGTGGGTTCACACACTGCTGAGTTCAGCTGGACTGTCCTGGTGTGCCCCACTGGGTATAAAACTGTTAAATATATTTGAAGTCTTAGCTGTTGCCCATATTCCATCTCCATGTAAATACCCGCCACCCCTCAGCTCTTCCCAAGGGCTAATACCTGTCCACAATCTAACAGCTAAAAGGTAGATTTCTGACGTCACTGGAGGCCTCCAGGTACTCGCTGCAACACTAGAGTTCAGCTATATTGTTTGTATTGAGTCTTCCCCAGGGGTTTGCAGAGATTCCAAGCCCAGCTCTGACTTGGACTTGGCCCCAGCCAGGGAAGGGGCAGCATACTCAGGACCAGAGACTGGGCAGCGGCAGACCACGTGATGAAGATGGGGACCCTTGGGGTTCCTGGGCTCTGTGGAAGGGTCAAGGGGTGGCAGGACCATGTGTGAGGGTCCTTTTCAAAACCTCATGGGCAGCCGACTTCTACACAACCCACACTGTCCAAACTCCTGATCCCCAACTGACTGCCCCGCCTGTGTCCAGAGCATGTCTGCCACCCTCACTGATGCAGAATGCTCTGTGTTGGCAAATGCATCTCCTGACCCCGCGACCAGTACTCAGTGGCATCCCTAAGGCCAGTGACCTCACTCCAAATGTGTATTTGGAGTGTATTTTCCTCTGGTGTCATTGCACCTGGGGTCTGATGCTATGCCCATTGCCAAGGTCTTAAAAATAAATGTGGAAGAAGCCCTGCTACCAAGCCTTCTCGAAGATCATCTCACCTTCTTCAGGTCTTGTTTGTGCCTTGTTTGTGCTCTGAGGAGAAGCAAGGTTCTCGGCCTAAGGATCACTCGGCCTTGCATGGCTCTCCGATCATAGCGGCCCCCAAGACCCTCTGCATCTTCTCAGCCCTGCACAGCCGTCTGGGCAGCTGGCAGCAGGGGCCCGTTCTCATCCACCATCTTGTGGTTTTCTCCTCTTGTTAGAAGCTGACATTTTTCAACTCAACGCTGAACACTTCAGGCCTGGTGCCAGAAGGAGAAGATTTGCTCATCCCAGGTGCCCAGCGGCCAGGCGTGGTCACCAAAGCGGGACTTATCCTCTTCGGAAATGATGACAGAATGGTAACAGCACTGCTGTGGGTCACTTCCATACACTGTTTGTAGGCTCAAGGCCCCGAGTATTCCTGTCCTTATTGGGTTTGGGCCCCACAGAAAGACCCCATGCTGCTCTGGCAAAATCAGGAAGAATTGAAACCCAAGAGGGAACGCCCCATGCCAGCCCCTGGCCACGTGGTCAGCCCTAAGCACAGGCTGCGTGAAGTAGGCCCCAGGGCCCCACACAGAGCTGGGTTTCCTGTGTGGGTACAAATGACCTATAATCAGGAAGAATCCCGCTTGGGGAACCCTGACCTGCGGGCTTCACTTTACACTGTAGAGTGTGCTCATTAAGCTCCTGGGCCTCAGGTTCCTTCTCTTTGAACAGGGATGCCATAGTGTTTTGGCATAGGTAGAGCCATTGGATCCATATTGGGCCCATAACATACCCTGATTAATATTAACATACTCTGCAAATCAGACTGACAGCTAATTTATATGGAGAATATAGCTATGCACCATTAAAAAATTAACATGCATTAAATTTAACCTTCACAACAATATTATGAAATAGGTACAAATATTGTACCCACTTTACAGAGAAGAAAAGTGAAATGCAGAGATTTAAATAACTTGCTCAAGGTCACATGAGCTCAGTAGCAGACCCTAATATTCTAGCTATATGACCCACTGCTACATGACCCACTGCTTGGCCATGACAACATATTGTTGACACTCATTACTTTTTCCCACTCCATCACATCTGCTGGGAATACAGAGAGATGGAGGACAGGCAGGGGTCCCCAGCATTTTACAGAGTTAGGCAGCCCCCCTGGATACATTGCTGTAGGTTAAATGCCATGTGGATTATTGTACAGGGGACTAACATTGGCTCCTCTTGATATCTACCCTGCCACACTCTGCTACCAGAGAGTTCAAGGCCTCCACTAATGTCTGTGATTTACAGCAGCTGGGTGTTTTAGGTATTCATGATAGATAAATACAATATATCAAAGAAATATCTGTTTGATATCAAGTTCTCTGGGAGCAGCATCTGAGACAGGAATTCTCATGCTAGTGATTCACAGAGGAATGCTCTCAGAAAAGCATGTAAGACAGTGAGGGCAGCAAGTCTGTCCAGAGGAAAAAGCTAAGCAAAGACCCAGGTTCAGGCGCAGTCTAGGTTTCATGTGATCCCAGGGAAAGCTCTGAATCATGAGTTGCATCTGCCAATTATACCCCCACATCTCTATATCAGCTGTGCCTGGGTTTCCTTGCCTCTGGGGTCTTGTGGAAAGGCATTGAGATACAGGATTAGGGTATGGTGTTGGTCCCTAGTGTCCAGTCCTTGCAGAAGCTGGAGGTTGGGGACTCCATGTAAAGCCAGCTAAAGGGACAGAGGGCCCAGGGAGGATGACACTAACTGCATCTGCCACAAGATCCACAGAGACAGCAAAGCAAAGGCAGCAGCCTGGTTGGAGAACCTTGGGTAAAGCAGGTCCCAGGTCTTCCTCCTGACTTTGACTGGCCTTGTTCGGTCCACAGAAAGTGCCAGAGCATCTTCAATTTTTAAAAAAAGGTATAAAGCGATTTACTAGGCAAAATTTTAAAAGTACACACTCAAAGAAATAGGGTGCAGATCCTTCAGAGAGAGAGGTGCATCGTAGTCCCAGCCAGGTATATTTATGGGGACTTTGGGGTGGAAATCCACGGAACCTGTAAATCTATGGAAAGAGAAGATGAAAGGTGGTGGTCCTCTTCTGCAGAGGAAGGGGGTCTGGTGATGGGGAAAGAGCTGTTCTGCAAGTGAAGAATAGCCAAAGCCCATTTACAAGTGAAAGGAATGACCCAGGTTTATAGCATCTTGGGAAGGTAAAGTAATCTTTTAAACTGGTTTTGAGTCCTGAAGCTGCAATATGTATTTTTTAAATTATGATTTTTTTGTCCATTTTCCACCTTTGTTTCTTTTATCCTATCTCACTCTCTTCCCCAGACTCTACTTCCTTATTCTTAAGGGATGCAGAGGGGCTATGTGTTCATCTTCTTCTAACTGCCTGGCTGAAGTGGGAGGCTGATCCTACCTCGCAAGGGATCAAAAGTCTCATCCTGACTGATCTAAAGGAGACATAGGAAGATATGGTTTGTTATCAGCGTGTCACTGAGGCTTAAAGCAGAATCAAAATAAAGGCAGAATCTGACACTGCATTGATTTGTGAAGACAGGTTTTGTAATACAGAAGACACATCTGTAGAGCTGTCAGGAATATATATATACAACACTGTTAGTAATAGCAGAGGTGAACATAAGCTTCATTAGGAAAGTTAAGAAAATGTAAATGCTATAAGCAATTTAAATAATCAAGTATCAAAAATTAAACATAGAATGATGAATTACCTTTAATATTGACCTATATGTCTTGAGACGTTTACCCAAGTAAGTACAATAGGTAGAATGTAAGAATATATAAACTTTTCCCTTGGGCTTTTGATTTCCTCCTTGTTGATGCCCCATAGAACAGCTTTGGGGTAGTTAGGACTTTCGGGGGCATTTTGTTGCCTTGTTGTCTCAAGTTTCTGTTTGTTTTTTGTGCTGAGGCTTGAAGGTTGATTATAGTGGAAAGCTTTGGTGATAGCATGGAGACCTCTTTAGTTAATGTCTGCTTTTCAGCGATGTTCTCAAGGCATGGTTAACTATTGGCCTTTGCCTGTGTCCCAGGATCCAGCCACCTTTGATGATTTTGAAGGAGAGGATGCAGTGTATTTGGCCCAGTGCCCAGTCACAGTATTGTTAATGATACAAGGGCAATCCAGATATTGGCATCCAGAGAAAACCAATTAATAGCAACAACTGTGTCACCTTGGCTATAGCAATAAAATCCGCAATAATAATAGCATCAAAGACAAACTAGATATTAACGTACCCTGTGAAGCAATAATGTACTTTAACCATAGAAAAGAGATATCTAATCATAGTACAAACACTAAGACAAACCAAATATTGACCTACAGTAAATATCTACTAAATGGAACAACTTTACCTCCTCCAGCAGTAGAACGGTATTTAACAGTGAGAGCATAGAGTTAACTAGTAACCTGAAGATTTATAAAGCTTAACAGTTACACTAGTAAAGGTAGAGGGGGTGGGGAAGTGGAGAATGCAAGACATAACATTTGAAAAATCAATGCGATGTAGTCAGTGGAAGATGAGGAAAGAAAAGTCAGAGGGGGGCTGGGGATTTAGCTCAGCGGCAAAAGCACCTGCCTGGCAAGCGCAAGGTCATGAGTTCAGTTCCCGGTACCGGAGAAACACCAAA